TCATGGACTTTCTTGCCCAGGCTGGCTTTGAACTGTGGTCCTCAGATCTCAACTTACTCAGTAGATAGGAAAACAGAAATGAGCCACTGGTGCCTGGCTAAATGTTTGAATTTCTATAAACTTCATTATGTCATTGCTTCTACACAGATTCATCTTATAATGCATCCAGTATCTTTCTTTAGCTTACAGACAGAAAAGTTCTGTCTCTAGTTTTCTCTTTTGAAAATTTTATTGTTACTATAAAGGTGGTGTACAGAGAGGTTACTGTGTTATGTCGGGTAATAAGTACATTTATTTTTGGACAATGTCACCTCTTCCCTCATTTCCTCCCAGGTTTTCCTGCCTGTCCACATCCACAGGATGTATAGTTAGTTTTCAACATAGTTTCAAATGAGTATCACTGCTGCTTTTGTTCACCATCTGTCCCTCAATTTTTGAGTTCCTGCTTAGCAATAGCAATAGTCATAAGACAAGATGTGGGAAATGAACTTTACAACTGGTATGTGTGTGGGGGGGTGTTGGGAGGGAAGGAAGAGAGGGAGAAAAACAAGGGAGGGAGTAACTGAAAGGATCTGTCACATCCATTCCAGGGGACCACACAGAGGCAGGCAGGCACAGGAGGTTTATTAGAGGAGCCATATTTGCCCCAGAGAGAAAGTGCATGGAGACCTCTGCTATCTAGGTAGCAACAAGGACTGAGGGTAGGAAGTAAGGTAGATGGGAGTTCAGGTGAGTCTGGGCAGAGAGAGGGAAGGCCCAGCAGGTCTGGGTGGAGCTGAGGTGGCATAATGCTTACATTCCCCAATCTGTTGTTTAATAAAAAATAGAGGTACCAGGCCGGGGATATGGGCAGAGGTCATTTCTTTTGGAGCTACTTCCTGCTGTAAGTAGTCAGGGGTCCCTGTTTTGTTGCTCGGCTGGGTACCGTCCAAGAAGCATCTGCTTGACAGTGGTTGGTACAGGCCCTCCTTATTCCATGACAATAGTTATCTAAAATGCAAGACAATTTATAAAAGGCAAAATTGCTGTTAAGGAAAAAAATTGCTGTTAGCAGCCAAAGAGAGGAATATGCCATGGAAGGATTGATTCTAGACGGAGCTATCAAAGACCTGAAATTGCTTATGGGGCTATTGTGAGCCTCTGCTAGAATTGTGAGGGGTATAGGTGTTAATTCTTTCAAATGAACCTAGAAATCCTTCCATTTCTTCTGGATTTTCCTATAGAGTTGAAAAGTTATTCAAAGTGTATTATCATCTTTTTTTTATCATTTTAGTATAAGTCTATATATTTCTGTATATTTGTACCCATGGGTAGATAGGTGACAGCCTACATAGTTATCCCGCATGTTCCACTTGATCATATATCATCCCTATGTATGCATAATGGTATATATATATATATATATGTGTGTGTGTGTGTGTGTGTGTGTGTCTTTATCTATTTCTTTACAACCCATTCTATCACTGGCTGCTAATAATGATGATATAGCACATAAAGGATTTTAGGGATTCAGATAAAAGTAGAAATCTCTTTGTTTTTAATATTATCCACATGTAGCAATGTCATGAACTCCTTAATTTCTTGTGGTTTCTTAACATGTAGAGTATCTTATATAAAATCGTTGAAATAAAAGAATGTCCTAACACAGAAAGAAACACAGATCTACAGTTAGCAGAGCAGTCAACTTGGTCTCTGTTTGGCCTCCAGAGACAAACACATTTTCTAGAGACAAATGTATCTTGCTGTGGACTGGTCATGAACATCTGGGGAAACAGCTCTTGCTGAGTTACTGACATTCAGAAGCCTGCAGCTCTTCTAGCTCTGTCTAGCCCATGGTGATTTGCATGTGCCCAGGACACAACCCACAGCCCTCAGGACTTCATAATTGTCTATTCATCCTCTATGCAGCAATCTCAGTCAGCACAAACCATGGACATGAGGGCTCCTGCTCAGCTCTTGGGGCTCCTGCTGCTCTGGATCTCAGGTAAGGAAAAACAATGCTGGGTTTTAACACAGCCCAGTGTGATCCAGGATTCTTTACTCTTCAGGAAGCCCTCTGATGACTTGATTAATAGTGTGGATGTTTGTTTTCATGTTTCCACACAGGAGTCAGGTGTGAAATCCAGATGGCCCAGTCTCTATCCTCACTGTCTCTGTCTCTAGGAGACACCACCACCATCACTTGCAGGGCCAGTGAAAGAATTGGTTACAGTTTAGCCTGGTACCAGCAGAAACCAGGGAAAGCTCCAAAACTACTGATCTATGCTGCAGATACTTTGTTGTCTGGAGTTCCATCAAGGTTCAGTGGTGATGGATATGGGACAGAGTTTACTCTCACCATCAGCAGCCTGCAGCCTGAAGATGTTATCACTTATTGCTGTCAACAAGATTACATTGCTCCTCCCACAGTGATACAAGCCATAACATAGAACTCCCAGGGAAGCAGAAGTGAGAGCCTGGGCTGCCGCACAGCTGCTTCTCTTGGTGCTTTCCCCTGCTGAGAGTGCTTCTCACAGGAATCCAGGCTTAGAAAGTTACTGCAAGGTTTTGGTAGAAGAAAAAAATTTTTTTTCAACATCATATTTTTCTTTCTTTTGATTATCCAACAGGACACAAATTATGTTTGCTCTCCTGATTAAAAAAATGATATGGGTTAGTAGTCTTAAGGATTGCAAGTTATGGTATCAATGTGGATTTAAACATCAAAATAAAAGTACATAGATTAAAAACAAACATTTAAACTAGTGATAGGATCATTACTTTATCCTGTGGGGGGGGGGAGGTCTATGCCAGGATTGTGACATGGGTTTGTGACTGAATTCACCTGTGGTTCACAAACATGTTGATTTAAGATGTAGATTATTATACTATCAATGAGAGAGCTTAACTATCAGTCTGAAAGACCTGAATTAAGACATTCAGAGACTTCTGCACAAGTGAAAACAAGGTGTGAAGGTATGCTCTGTAGCCCCACTGCTGCTCATGTGTAATTTGTCAGTGATGGAGTTTTTATCCTCCAGGATGAGCATTTATGGATTCCATCTGTTACACTGAGGAAATTTCCAAAAGCAGCATTAAATTGTACATCTGGGAAACTTGTCAACCAAACACTGGGAGTAAGGTTGGTAATTTTTAGAGGTTCCCTTTACCTTGGAAAATCCCTACTCTTCTTGTTTTGTGTTTTGTTTTTTAATTTTATTTTTATTGTCAACGTGATCTACAGAGGGCTTACAGTTACATATGTAAGATAGTGTGTACATTTCTTGTTAAACATTGTTACCCTCTCCCTCATTTTTCTCTCATTCTTCCTACCCAAATTATATATTCTGTTGTATGAAACAAAAACAAGAGCCCAACCATAATAATTTGGTAGTAAATAAGTAACCGATGAAAAATCATCAATATGTCTCACAGTATTTGTGCAGAACCGTGCACTCCCCTCTCATTATTGGAGAATCCATGGGGATGATGGACGGACCTAGACTCCATAACGCCTGCCCGCTATCCATGGAGAACTGGCTTCCACTTCCCGAAGGTCCAGTCAGTGCCTACTACACAGTTATGGAACAATTACTTTAAATGATTTTTGTAGATGCAAGACTATTCTCTGTGGATTTCAACATGATCTCTGGGGCCCCAGACAGTTTCTGTGGCAGCAAGTTAAAAAAAATAACCGGCTATCTGCAGCATTGTTTCTAAGCATGAAAGAACACAATACTGTCTGCTCATTGGACCAACAACTGTCCCAGTGCTACAGTTTTGAATAAGAAACTGCCTGCTTGGGTAGCCCAGCTGTAAACTTGTCCCTTCAGTGTGGAACAAGTAGGGCATACTCCCTAGTTCTGTGTCAGAGAAAAATGTCAAGGAATTCATGTGTCCAAATTAGTAAGAAGCCATGAGACGCCTGGTTTGTACCTGTCTCCTGGGGTGGCACAGCATCTTCATTATGGCTAAACCTTTAGGGGAATGGAGCAGTGAGACTTGATGCTTGGAGAGCTGACTGGAAACCTCATCCTCAGTTTCTCTATTTTGTTTGTACAGTGTAAGTGTAACAATTGAGGCTGAATTTGTGGCAAGAATACTAGAGCAGTTTGACTGATCACTTGTGATTTAGCATTTGTGGTCTCTAGTGTTACAGCATATCACTTGGTAGTATGAAGAAATTTATTTTGGGGGCTGGGATGGTGGCTCAGTGGTAGAGCTCTTGCCTTGCATGCCTGAGGCCCTGGGTTCAATTCCTCAGTACCACATAAGCAAAAAGAAAAAAGCTGGAAGTGGTGCTGTGGCTCAAGTGGTAGAGCACTAGCCTTGAGTTGAAGAGCTGAAGGACAGCACCCAGGCCCAGAGTTTAGGCCCCACGACTGGACCTCCTCCCCGCAAAAAAGAAATTTATTTTTTCCTCTACTATTGCCTTCTGCTTTTCCTTACTATGTATTCCTTTACAGGCCAATGGCACACATAGGAGAGCGTGATCCTAAAGGAGAAGCTAAGACATGAAAATGGATACTCAGTTTTAATTACTTACAGTTTATCCACAGTTAAAATGGATAAATGTTATTCAACACCTTTAAAAATACAATGTAAAACTAAATAAACTTCCTGGAGAAATCTCATTAAAACAGTTTAATATAAACCACTATCATTTCCCTTCCATTTCCTTTTCTTCATATCTTTCCTTCTTCCTTCCTTTCTTTAATGTGTGACTGTATAGGTTTGTGATGTCTGCGTATGTGCATGTGTAAGGTGAGGTGGAGGGAGTGTGCTGGAACTGGTAATTTAATTCTGGGAGTCATGCATGTTAGACTTATAGTCTATCACAGATCTATATGAAAATAAATGTAATTTTGCAGTTACACAGTTGAGCTTGAGTTTTATTTTTTTTCAATTCTTAAGGAAAAGATCAGTTTATAAATGGAAATAAAATGATCCCATACATGATGAAAATAAATTTTAAAAAATCCATTATTGTGATGAAGGTCAAAGCACATTTTACCATACTGGATGCTGATAGTGAATGCTTTCCATGTTAAAGTAACTCATGAGTCACTCAATGCACTCTAAATAGATCCATTCACTATATTATCATAATCTGGGAGGTGGATACCTGTGAAACCTAGCACCAGGAAGCAAACCTGGCATCAGAATGAGACTCAATCTCAACATATAAAATGCAAAACAATCTGAGTTCAGAGTGAGACCATATTTCAATATACAAAACACAAAAATCACTGTAGAATTTTGGTGATTCAGAAACATATATTAATTATACTATCATAGAAGTAATGAGAAAAAGCTACACTGAACCAAATAGTTTTGAGAAAATAATCATGAATTCAAAATTTCCATACTAATATATCCCATAATGAGTACAAGAAAAATTCCTTTTCCTTAATTTAACGATCCTATGAAAACCTTTTTTTTGTAGAGAGAATCTTGGCAGCAGCAAAATAGTAATTCAACATATGGCCTTTTGCCTATATGAATGGGGACCTATTAAAACACTTTCAAGCAAAGGAAGGATAAGATAGCACATGAGCTCTAGTTCTACCCTACTTGAAAACAGAACAAGAGTGCCTCAATTAGAAATCAAGGAGGCAAATCTTGTCATCATTTCATGTCAGTGTTGCAGAGGAATGTGATTATTCACAGTGTTACACCTCACAGCACAACATCTGTGGTCATTGATTCACATGCCTGGTGACCTTAAGTGCTTTCACGTGACAAGTGACCCAGCAGCTATGCCTGTCTGAATCAGCTCTCACAGGTTTGTGAGACAGGAGAGCTCTAGATCAGGAGACCTCATCTTTCATCCCACCCTGACCAAATACCCTAGAGTTCCTGCAGGAACACTCTTGAAAACCACACTATTAACATTTCAAATATATCTTAATAGCTCATTCATAAGTGTCTTGTGACTAACATCTTTTCTGAATTTAAGGTTGCCTATTAGAATTTAATCTTGAAATAGATGTCTGAATGACTGGGAAGGGGAATTTCTTTACTGTAAAGATACTTTACAGAGGGGTTAGGGTTACTTGAGTAAGGTAAGTTAATGAGTACATTTCCTATTGAGCATTGTTACCTCCTCCTTTGTTTTCCCCTACTACTCTTCCTTTCCTCCTTACCTCCTCAACTCCTTCCTGCCCCCATACCTGAAGTTGTAAAGTTCGTTTTCAACATAGTGTCTTGTACATCTCATTGTTACAATGGGTCAACCTGTAACCTTATTTTAGCATTTTGTTATTTCCCTTCCCTTCCCAAAATAGAAAAATGTATATATAAGATGTAGGGCACCAGCATCAAATACAGTGAAAACAGGGTTATACCAGGGGGAAGAACATACAAAAGAAACAAAAATTTCACATGGTACATTAAAAACAACAGCAACAAAGAAAAAATGTCTTGTGTCCCTATTTGGGGTGCATTTCATTTAGCATCATCTTATATGCAGAATTGTTTTATATTCCATACAGATTCCATTCTAGCAATGGATGAAAAGGATCAACAATAAACACTGATGGAAGAAAAACATCACAAGTAAAAATGGAGTTTGTCAACTACTGAGATCTAATATTTGGCATTGCATAAGCTTCAATGTGAGAGAAAGACAATCAGATGGCAAAGAAATTCCAAAATAAACAAAAGAGCTGCCTATCTTACAACAGCAAATTAAGACCAAGTGTCTTGCTCTGTATTTCACAGGTCTTCCCTGCTGTACATGGCAACATTAGGCCAGGGTCTCCCTACCCAGGACAAAATTAGAGGTTAGGGGAATATCAGCTCAGAAATGAGATGTTACAAGTATGTGTGTGTGTGTATGTATGTGTGTGTGTTTGTGTGTGTGTGTGACACACAGAGAGAGAGAGAGAGAAAGAGAGAGAGAGAGAGAAAAAGAGTTGGGAAATTTGGTCAGTTCTTTTAAAAGATTGTGTTTCTCTATAAACTGGAAATCTAAGAGCTTTGCTTCAAATTCTTTTTGGAAGTTTTATAAGAGAACTTGGCAGAAGCACCACAGCTTTCTTGACACCATGAAACACTAATCTTAGTATTGAATAATCTACCTGATTATGGTAAAGTAGACATACTGAAGGAACCTGAGTCCTTTCTTGCCGTGGACTGGCTCTGTCGGGACGACGGAGGACACCTAGTAGAGGAACTGAAATAGGTGGGGAGATGGCAAACAGACAACTCACACACAAGAGGAGTGAATGCTGAGTGCGATTTATTGCAAAGGATAACAAGCTTTTATAGCAAAAGTCTCCATGAGAAAGGGCAAAAGGTTACACAATCTTGCTGCAAGGCTTTGCTCTTGGGTGGTCACCAGCTGGTCATCTGATCTTGTTTTTTGGATGACGAGTTATGATGATAGGCACTTGTTCCAGGCTTTACCTCTATTTTTAAGAAATACAATTGGTTTTGATGTTTATCACCTATTAACCATTAACCAGAGCATATGGGCAAGGTGCTGAACAGAAAGGCATGAACTCTATTATTACTTTTGTTTAGTTTTGTACTTTATATGTTTCAAATTTTTTCTAAGCAATTGTGCTTCTTTGCCATTCTTTAGTGGGTCCCCAATTTGTGGCCAAAAATCATGATATTCATTACACTTAGTTAAATCTGGCCATATATCAAATTTAAGCTCATAGTGTCTTTTCTGTAACCCTTTCACATAATCGTTTACTCTTCTCCATAGAGGCCTTAACTGTCTCATAAGATCTTTCTTGTTCCTTCTTTGATAGTAAGCACCAAGGAGGCCTAGATCTAGCAAGTCTCTACACCAAGGAGGCCTAGATCTAAAAAGTCTCTCAGTAAATGAAAGAGAGTAATAGGAAGTTATTTCTCCTAAGTAGTTTTCCTAACGGTTGCCATCCTCATCATTCACACCTGTAAAAGGCTATGGATCTGGGGGAAGTATTTGGGGTCCTCTAGATAATGGAGGATCCCACCATTTTCCTCTGGTAAGCCATTGCCACCTTCCATCTACCAACTTTTTAGGAATCTTATTTAGCTTTTGGTCTAAATATCCCTCTACTTCTTTCTTATCTACAGGATATCTATATGCGTCTATTATATACGTTTCAGGATTAAAAGGAAGTCTCCAATAACCATGCACTCTTTCTGCTCTAGCCATGCCTACAGCTTCTTGTAAATCTCTTAGAAACAATTCCTTCTGCTGAAGTCATGTCATGAAACCCCCAATACTTTTATATTTACTTATGACTTGTCTACTAGCCTCCATAAGAGGGGCTTTCAGGGTAGCACTAAACTCTGGTGAGTTAGTCATATTCTCAAGACACTCATCAGATGTTGGAGTCCTCAACACTTTTAAGAAAGAGCCTTGAATAAAGGAACATTGAGCATGAGTAAGTAAAATAAGCAGCAGGAACAGTAAAAGATTAATAGGCACTCCTATACAGTGAAGAAAAGAAAAACAGGAACAGAAACACATGTTTCCCAGGGGCTTGCCAGCCTTTCCAGGAGGTAGGTCTCTTTGAAGCCCCATTCTCTGAGGTAGACTTCGGTGAAGTCCCATTCTCAGAGATAGGCCTCTTTGAAGCCCCATTCTCTGAGGTAGACTTTGGTGAAGTCCCATTCTCAGAGATAGGCTTCTGTGAAGCCCCATTCTCAGGTCTTAAAGCAGGTGTTCCATGCTAAGCAGACTCAACCGGAGTAGGCATGGCACTTTCTGCCATCATTATGTTGTAATAGCCCACTCTTTCCCAGCCTTCAGACTTCTAAATGTGAGTTGGTGCTGCACTATTGTTTCTTCTGCTAGCATATAGAGATGCATCCTCTGTAACTTGTCCCAAGTAATTCTATCTTGCTGTCATAGTGATGCTCTGCATGTCAGACTGTAGCAGAGCAAGCCCTCCATCCTGTAGGTGAGCAGCTAGCTAAGAAAGCAGATTTCATGATAAAAGCAGAGACAGTCTCATTAAGGGATACCTTTTGCAGGGTGTTTTTTCTCATATCATGTCATTTGAGCCTGATGCTGTTTTACCACTAGATGGAAGTCTAGGACCAGGTTTATATTATTGGGTTACATACAAATAAAATAGGAGCTCAGAACTTGGTAGGCACAGTTAAGGGATTTTAGTGTCTTTGGGTGCTTAGGGTTATCGGTAGTCATCCAGTGCTCTGTAAGTTATTCCTATTAAAGTCACTCACCATAGTTAGTTATGTCCTTCCTGGCAACTCAGTCATACTGTGTTAATGTCCAGATAAGTCTAAATAACCTCCTAGAGTTTATGACTACTATTTTCCAATTTTCACTTCTCTTCCTATAGTCTAACTGTGAAACAGCCTCTTGTTTTCCTTAACCTTGTCTCCTTCAAGGGCAATTAACACAGAATTAGAATTATGAAACACAGGAAGTCTGTCCACAGACCTTAAAGGATCAATAGAGCATCTCCTTATAGAGCACAATATCTGAACTAGTAAGAAAAATACTTTCTCTGCAGGGAAAATTCTTCTGCTTTGCTCTGACCTAGGACCACTGGGCATTTGCTCTGCTATACCATATGGAGTTTACCAGACATAGCCATCACCCCTAGTCAGAGCTCAGGCTGTCAGTGGGTTGTGGAATGTTTTGGCCTGTGTCCACGAAGCCACTAAACATGTATGCTGCCCTGGGTGATAAAAGTCACTAGGACAGGAGCTGTCCAAGGTAAGTACTGGACACAAAACTTCTTCATATTTGAGGGTAAGATCCAGTGTTTCTCCTGGGCTTCTGTTTCACTTTCTCCAGACCTATTCATGCCATTGTGTATCTTCAGAATGGTGAAAGTCTTCTGTTTCAGCAGCAGGAGCACAGGCGTGGGTTTGGGAATTCATGAGTCTAAAGGGTTTGGAGTAGGAAGGATTCTGTGGAGTTGTATAACCAGCCCTGATTTTAGTATACCAACTCAATATATCTAAATGTAATATCACATACATCAACAAACAAAATTGCAACTATGTATATTCAAAGTAGGACTACAGAATGAGCTTGAGTCCCTTCTATTGTCTTTACGCTGAAGCGCCATCTTAAGTTCTTCATTCTCAGGCTTATGCTTATGGCTTTAGCTATGATCAAATTTTCTTTTGATAGGTCTGTCTGGGGACTTGTTGGGTCATTGAATCTGTGCAGTTACTGTGATGATCCAGTTCTGTGCCTGTGCCCATCCCTGCAGCTGTGCTAAGACCCTCCTGATTTGCATGTACCAAGAGCACAGCCCACTGCTTGAGAAATTCTAATAGCTGGTCTCAACTTGTGCAGGAGTCAGCCTCATTCAGCACACACTATAGCCATGACAGCCCCTGCTCAGCTCCTGTGGTTCCTGCTGCTTTGTCTCCAAGGTAAGGAGGGTCAGCCTGGAGATCTATTCAGTCCAGTGTGATCAGTGCTGCCTAGCACTTCATGGAAGTCTTCTTGTATCATGATGAATACTATGGAGATTTTGTTTTGTGTTTCCCTGCCAGGAGCCAGATGTGACATCCAGATGACCCAGTCTCCACCTTCACTGTCTGTTTCTCCAGGAGACAGAGTCACAATCACTTACCAAGCCAGTGAGAATAATTATAACAGTTTACACTGGTACAAACAGAAACCAGGGGAAGCTCCTAAGCTCCTGATCACTTATGTATCAAATTTACAACCTGGAGTTCCAGCCAGGTTCAGTAGCAGTGGGTATGGGACAGAGTTCACTCTCACCATCAGCAGCCTGCAGCCTGAAGATGCTGCTACTTATTACTTTCAACAAAGTACTACTTACCCTCCCACAGTGATACAAGTCATAGCATAAACTTCTCAGGGAAGCAGAAGTGTGAAGCTCAGCTGTCCCAGCTGCTCCTCCTGGTGCCTCTTCCTGCTAAGAGTGTTTTGTAGAGGAAGCCAAGTTCTGAAATTTATTGGAATGGTGTTTTTGATTTGCAGCAGTGACAAGGATTAGCACTGTACTATCACTCCAGTTTATTCCACTGTTTTTACCAGCACAGACACATTGATGCCTCTTCTAATAGAAAAGAAAGGTATTTCCTCTGAAGATTGTGAGTTTGGGCATCATTTACTATTAATTCAGCTAAACTGAAGGCAGGCAAGGTAATAAGCACCAATTGTTTTAATACAGAGAACTAGATTCTAAACTAAAGTTTCCATGTTGAGTGGTGGACAATGACACTAATAGAAATGAGATTATTTGGTGCATTCATAGGGCTTGGCTGTGTTAAAGTTTAGAATGTGATCCTTTGTCATGCAGAGAGAGCCAGTGGTGAGGTAATTACATCCTCACTTGCTCTAAGCACCTTTGCAGGTAACCTGGATTTACCTTTGTTCATGTGTCTGACTGCTGTTAAATAAATTTAAATCCTTTCCTGTGCCCCTCAGGCGCACAGGAATTTCAATAGATCAGCATTTCAGGAAACCATAGGAGGTGCAATTGCTCTGGAACAAAACAAAACAAAAACAGAAGGCTTCCAGAGTGATAGCACTGAGAGCTAATAAATGTTCCACAGGCTAGGATAGTAACTATGGCTCAACTCTCAAATTTAGAGAATGACCCTAGAATATAGTTGAATGTATTTGAGCAAACATTGACTACTGATCTTTCTTTACTTCTCTTTACATATAAGGAAATAATTGTACTTGAATACCAAAAGACTAGTTCTTTCAGGTAGCAATCTATTTGTGTATGTGTGTGTGTGTGTGTGTGTGTATGTGTGTGAACTTGTTGTATGTTTGGAAAGAGTTCAGACATTACAATCCATCCCAATCTTCATTTAGATCCTGACTCTCCAACTTATTATTTTTCTAATAGAAGTTGAATAAATTTGGTATAAGAATTAATACATAGTCTTGTTGTGAGACTGAAAAGAGTTAATTTGCATAAAATATCTGCCATAGTATCTAGCACATAATCAGATATATACTAATATCCTTTGTAGTTGTTTTCCGGCATTTACATTCAACATTTCTAATTCCAAACAGTGTCTTTGAAAAAAGGCATTCCCTCTATCATGTATTACATATTTAAGGAATTCCCTCCCATATCCTCTTAGAAATTTATCTTTTGGTCAGAATTACAGGACAATTTTTTACCAAGCTAAGAATACTATTTTAATAGAAGAAATTATGATATTACTCTTACTGATTTTCATTTTTCCTCATTCCATATTTCATAATGGAGTATTCATTTTAATGGGCTCCTTAACCAAGTGTCACAAATTTGGGGACCAGAACCAATAGAAATTTCCAATCTCTTATCGCTGGATGATGGAATTCTGAAATTAATATCACCATTCATCTCTCACCAACAAGTTTATGTTCTAGCAGCTGTTTTAATGGTGTGCCAGGAAAAATCTCAATCATTGCTGTAGAAACAGAGACATGAAAACATTGGGTTCAATGCTTGCTATTCCAGCTTCTGGAATCTAATCTAATTGTGAAATTTGTAGTTGTGTTCACACCACAAAAAAACAGAGAAGACACCAGAAGACAGAAAAAAAACTCTGACAAACCCTGCCCAAAAAAAAAAAGAAAATCTAAAAACCCACAAGGAAGGACAATCCAAAAAAAATCACAAACCAATAAAATGCCTAAGCACACCCAAACAAAAGCAAAGAAAAATTGGCAGTAGAGATGCAGGGGAAAAAAGAAGAAGGCATCAACGAAGGGCAGCAACGAGAACCCGGAGCTACCACAAGGAAGCAAAAAGTACAAGACCACAGGAAGAACAAGAACACAGCAAGAGAATTGAAGCACTGAATCCGAAACAAATAGAACAGGGAATAAAAGGCCGGCAAAACCGTCGAAACACCACACACAAAAAAAGCAAAAACAAAAAAAAACAAAAAAAAAGAAAAAAAACACAAAGGAAAACAAAGAGAAAGACTTAAAAAACAGTATCAGAGACACGGAACAAGCTATGTTAGGTTTTTAAAAAGAGGTAGCTGAGTAAGAACTGCACCACGCACGTGGTATTCAGGTAAGGGGTTTATTCAGTAGACCTGCTGGGACCAGGCAAGGTTGGCACTCCACGCGGCTGGCAAAGGAAAAGAAAAGGACCGTCTGGCCGCGGTTTGGGCCTTATATAGGGTAGGGGGTGCGGAAGGGTGTGTCCAGGTAAAGGGAAGTGGGGTCAGGTGGGAGAAAGGTGTGGCCACATCAGGTTAAGATGTGACCTCAGCGGATGCGGATGTGACCTCTTCCAGGTGTCCCAGTTGCCTAGGTAACGCAGGTACTGGGGAGGTCTGTTCGCCATCCAGGAATGGACCTTACATTCTTATAGTATGAAAATGATATAATATTTAGTAAATTATACAAATTATTACATGGACTTTAATACTTAGGTCCTAAGAAATGATATCCTCTCTTCTTTTTCTCTCACTCAAAAGAAAATCTATTATTTCTCAGCTCAAGGAAACCATTTTTGTTCTCCAGGTCATGTTCTTTATTCTTGATTAGGCTACATGGCCATGTTTATGGACCATATTTATTATACAGATCTAAACATTTGCAATGAATTTATTTTGCCCACAGATGTAGGCAACATAGTATTTAGAGATGTTACACCAAATACTGAAGATATTTATGTCACTCCAGTCTCAAGAGAAAGGTCTTTTCCTCCTCTTATCTTTTCCACACAGCTGTACCAACAAAGACATGTACAGGTTCACCACAGATAGTACATTCCCTCAATATCTGAGATAGATGCTCAGCTCTAATCTTCCATTGATTTATTAGGATTTCTGAGTTAACTTCTAAAAATGAGGATCATGGTCTTTTAATAGTGAAGAAAATGAAATATACTTTAGTGTTATATGTGTTCTCAGAAATCACATTTCCATATTTAGCAGTGTGCAGAAAGGATTCTTTATTGAGAAGGCTTTCAGAGTTTTAAATTCTTTGCTAGGTAAACTCTAGTAGAGTTGCGTTATATAGTTCTCTTTCTGTTGCTCTGCTTATTCCCTAATTTTGTTCGTATATTTAATTTTCCCTCTCCAATTTCTAATATGTTTCAGATTCCTTTACTAGTAGAATATTAGAGGGCTTGATAGTGTCTGAAAAGAACCAGATTTTTGTTGGTTAATATCTAAGAAAAAAATGACAAGATCACAAGAGAAGATTTAATGATCCTCGAGGCAAATAGGATACATTACTAACTGAACATCTGAATATTTCTGTCCTGTGGTCCTGATATATGTGTAAGGTTACTGAGATGAGTCAGCCACATAGCTGTGCTCACCTAGCCAAGGCTATGCTGGTTTGCATGTGTCTCTCATTACACAGTCCAGTTGTCCTAAGGAATTCTTCATAGTCTGTTCACTGCCTGTCCAGCAGTCTCAGTCAGCACACAGTATGGACATGAGGGTCCTTTGCCCACTCCTCCAGCTCCTCCTGCTCTGGCTCCCAGTTAAGGAAGGACAACAGTCAATATTTACTCAACATGGTATGCCCATTGTTGTGTGGTCTTTCAAGGAAGTCCTCTTCTAACACAATTAACCATGTGAATACTTACCTTTATATTTCTAATATCAGGTGCCAAATGTGGCATCCAGATGACCCAGTCTGCATCCCTGCCTGCATCTCTAGGAGACAGAGTGATCATCAATGGTCAGGCCACTAAAGACATAAATAATGAGTTATACTGGTGTGAACTGAAACCAGGGAAATGGATTAAACCTTTCATTTATTATGCAATTCACTTGGTATCTGGGATTCCATTCAGTTGCAGTGAATCTGGGACAGAGTTCACTCTTGCCATCAGCAGACTGCAGCCTGAAAAATGCAACTACTTATCACTGTCAACAACTTAGGAGTGAGCCTGCCAGAGTGAAATACATCATAATATAAAGCTCCCAGAGAAGCAGAAGTGTGAGGCTGGGCTGCCCCAGCTGCTCTTCCTGTGCTTCCTCCAGCTATGAGTTTTCATTTGTAGCTGGGCAGTGAAAGCCATTGGAAGGGTTTGGTAGAAAGGGAAAAGAAGGTTTCTCAGTGCCCTAACACTTTCTTCCTCCTGAAGTCCATCAGGTGGCATGTAGCAATGCCTCTCATGATTTAATAAAGAATACATGTCAGTACATAATCTGGATTATCTCATCAGCTAGGACTCAACCATCAAAAGAAGAACATATCTTTGATTTCCCTAGGAAGATTAAAAAAATGAAGGTGTGTGTGTGTGAGTAAAAAATATAAACTTTCAAAAAGTTTTTGTTTTGTTTTGGTCACAGCGCTGGGGCTTCAACACTAGGCCTCTTGTTCTTGCTCTGCTTTTTCTCACGCTCGAGGATTCTCCATTTCCAGATGTCTGATAATTGGTGAGAAGTGTCTCTTGGAATTGTCTATCTGACTACAAAATACAATCCTCAGATCTTAGTTTCCTAAATAACTATCATTATAAGCATGAATCACCATGATGCACTCATAATAAGTGTAAAAATTTCTGGGTTACAGTATGAATTTTCAATCTGGACATTGACTAGTGATAAAATTCATGCTATTAACATATTCATAGCCTTAAACATTTATCATTTCTTTGGGGTTAGTTTTCAAAGGTATGGAGGAATGCGTATCAAAGACTTAGATACTAGTACTGGGGTAACCTAAGATCCAGGGCATCAGAAGTCAGAGTGCATCGCCACAGAAGATCCACCATGAGATTCTTAGGTTTGAATGGGATACCTAAGGGTATCATGATCTCTAATTCCAGACATTGTCTTTGAAAAATGGTATTCTTTCTATCCTATAATAATTATAAAAATTTAGAATTTCCCATTTACATTCTTCTACCAATTTATGTCTTTGTCA